AGCAGCGTTTTCCTCAGGGAAAGGCCCTTCACTCACCCCACTCCAACCCTAGGGCCTTCTGCAAGCATTTATCTCAGGGAGAGCTCTCCTCACCACCAACCCTGCTCCTCAGATGCTTCCTGCAAGGTCAAGAGTAGCATTTCCCTCAAGAAAGCTCCTTTACAGCCCCAACCCCAGCCTTAGGGTGGCCCCAAAGCCTCCTGCAAGGCCGGGAGCAGCATTTCCCTCAGGGAAACTCCCCTCACTCCCCCAGCCCTTATTTAGTTTTTCCTTTTTATGTTTTGTTTAGGAGACTCGTTGTCCTCACACCCTCGGGTTTTGCTCTAGGTGTTAACCAGCCCATGTTTAACCGGCCATGGACCAGTTCCCCTTCGGCGAGGAGAGCACGGTTCATTTGGAGATGCACCTCCCTGGGTTTTCTGAAAGCCAGGGGCTGCTCTGCGGCGAGGCTCTCAACCACGATTTGTGTTTAAACACAAAAGACGTGATGTACGTGGGGCTGAGCGGCCTGGAGGGGGTGCCCGGCCTTCCAGCCGTGGATGCGGCCAGCGCCGACGCTCTGGAGAACGATTTAAACGCGCTCTCTCTGTACCCGGCGAAGGACTGCGACGCCGTTCAGCCCCTCGAGGAGCCCGACGCACGACCCTCGCAGCACGGTGAGCACGCTGGACTCTTTCTCTGGTATTTTGAAGGATTTCTTGCGGATCGAAGCAGCTGGAGTTATTTAGTAGCTTTACACAGGTGGTGGATCCGTTATGTGGAAAGATTTTGGGGTAAAGGGGTGGATTCGTGGGGGTTTTTTAAAATGTTTTTAGATTCTTGTAATTGAAGCACTTCAGAAATGTTTCTCGTGTGAAATGATGTTCAAATTGACGAGGCTGCAGAAGATGATAATAATTATAGCACCTCTCTCTCACAGGAATTTCACTTCTCTCCTGTTTTCATAAAATTATACCCTAGGCAGGAATATTATTTTTTTTTCCCTAAGAGTCCTTGCAGCCTGTTCTCCAGCTGGAAATGGAAAACGCGAAGGCATTAAAATGATAGATTTGCTAAACACGTTGCAAACATCCATATTACCGGCTCTTCCCTGAAGCGGAGAAGAGACATTCTGGTTAATTCTTCTTGCGTTTCCAGTTCTCTGTGAGATGGATTAAGCAGAACGGGCTTTGTCGAGGTCTGCCTACGGTAAAATGCTCGTGTTGAGAGAACGGAGAACTTAATTGCTAATTAATGGATATAAAAGCGTGTGCCCTCTTTGGGTGGCTTTAAAACAAAACAAATGAAAAGCCGTAACTAGCAGCGCTCTGGTAAGAAAATGAGACTTTCTGCTAACGATCGGGGCCTGCGTTTCTACTGATTAACCGATTAATAACAGCTCCTGATGACTCTTTCCTTACTCGTGGGTGGGGAACCCTGCATCCTCTCCCAAAGCCCAGTCCCGCGGGAGTCGCCTGGGCTATCACCTGCTCAGACTGGGACAAAGCGGTTCGGAGTTGTCTCGTTCCCTCCCTCTTTTCCCAAGAAAGAGGGGAAATGGTAAAATTCATTCCGATGAGGGCCAGGATGGCAAAGGATGTAACTTGTGTGAGGGTGGGACCTGGCTTTGGGTGTTTGTGGAGACCCCAGTGATAAAGTAGCTCCGCAGCTGCGAATTGGAAGGGGTGGAGGAGGTTTGTGGGACTCTAGTGCTCGTGTTTGTGGAGATATTCAGTCTCACAACCCACAGACCAGAGCCCTCCAATGGAAACATGATAAAAAGCAACATTTTTATTAAAGTGAGAAGCGTCTTCTTGCACAGCTAACCCACGGAATCGCTTTCTCTCCCCCTCCAGAGCCAGAACTTCCCACGCTGACGCGACCGGAGGAGTCTGGAGGAGGAGGCGGCAGATCTGCGGGGCGAGGAAAGCGTCCCCTGGGCTCTCCGCAGGCCTCGCTGCCGGGCTGCAGCCGCTGCGGGAAGGTGTTCGGCAGCGCCAGCGCGCTCAGCAAGCACAGCCTGACCCACAGCGAGAAGCGGGACCACGTCTGCGGCCTCTGCGGCAAGGCCTTCAAACGGCAGGACCACCTGTACGTGAGCGGTAAAAAACGGGCGGTAAAACCGCGTCGAGTCGCTGCGGCCTCATTTACCGAGTGTCGATACGATCGGCTTCTGCCAGGCTTTAATTTCAATTTCAGAAGTCGCAGCGCTTGGTATCTTTGTTTTCAGGTGAAGTCAAGTTACAAAACGACTTCCCTAAGCTTGTGCACGTTAACTTTGAATTTTCCAGAGCAGGCTGGTGCAGGAAAAGTCCCAAAAGTCTGTGTTTCTGTCCCGCAGCAGGAAAATCTGTAGCGTTGAGCTCTCCAGCAGCAGCTAGGCTTTTTTTTTTTTTTCTTTTTTCTCCTATCAACTGGCTTGGAAGAAATCACTCTGGGTGTGTGCTGGAGAGGTGACTTCTGATTTTTGGCAGCTGCCATTTTAGGAAATATTGCTTAATAATGAATTAACGCTGTCAAATCTTGCTTAATCATTCCACAAAGCTCTCCAAGCTCCAGCAGATTATTGTAGGTCCGGTTTTTGGCAGTGGCAGTCCGGGACGAAGGAAAACACCCTTTTGCTTTGGGTCAGACCGCAGCGGTTGCCAACAAACCTGTTCTGTCCCAAAATGTGCCTTTATGAAGTGACGCTGCGGTTATAGTCAGCTCCCCGTTGTTTTTGGGGAGGTGCCTGCCTAATTTTTTGTGTCTCACTACTGTTTTTATACTCTAAACCAAAAAAGAATCGTGACCAGCCTTTAGCATCTGCCGTGAGTGGAACCCGGGTAACCCAAAGGAGCGCAAGTAGCTGGGGTGCAAACTGAAGTCCTTTTTCGCTTGGAAACGCTCACACACACTGTTCTCTTCTCTCCATCACCACAGGAGCGGGCACATGTTGACGCATCAGAAAATAAAACCTTTTGCGTGCCCGGAACGAGACTGCGAGAAGAGCTACTGCGACCCGCGTTCGCTGCGCCGGCATTACGAGCTGCAGCACGGCACGAAGGAGGCTCCGAGGGAAGGTGCCGGGCAGGAATCCCCGCTTCTTCCCGGGCAATCGGTGGACAGACGGACTGTGTGCTCAGAGCCGGGCTCTTTCCCACCCACAAAAGACCCTCTGAGGTGTGTTGTGGACAGTTTCGCAAACCAGAAGCTTCCTGTGCCCTCCGCAGAGCCTGCGGGCGCTGCTCTGACAGATTCCTCCCCGGCAAACCCGACCTCTTGCCTCGCGTCCAACGGCAGCGGCCTTTCGGAGCCTGCGGGAGACAGTTTCTCGCAGGATCTCCTCTCTTGCCCGAAGAGCGCTGCCTCTCCTGACGTCTGTGCCGTCGTAAATCCCAGCGATGTCTCTGTGACCGCGCCGGGCGAGAGCATTGTCACCAATCTGACCGAGAGATGTTTTATTTCGGAAGCTCCGCTCCCCTCGGAGCCCGTGGGGCCGCAGTGTTGTCCCAGCAGCACCCTGCCTTGTTTCCCTGCCTTCCGAGGGCAGAAGACGTCTTCAAACCCAGCGAGCAGCAGCTTTCAGTGGATAAGAAGCGTGCCGGTTTGTGCCAAACCCCAAGGAAATAGCGTCTGCCTCGCTCGCGTGACGCTTGCCACAGCACAGAGCCTTCCGGAGGCGTTGGCGGGACCCTCCTGCACGTTCTCAGCCGCCTGCGAGCGTCCGGACGCTTTGTCTTTCCCCTTTGCGCCTTTTAAATCCGCAGAGGACTCACTGAGCGAGTCGACCCTCCGTTGTTTCGAGGAAAACTTCCAGTCAGCAAAACCCCACGACTCCCACCCGTGGGAGAACGCCGAGAAGTTGAATTTTCCGGAGATTCGGAAGCCCGGTGTCCCACACGGCGAGAGCCGGCAGCTCTTTGCGGAGGAGCCTGCTGCGTGCCCGGAGCCGCTGCCCATCTTCCAGGCGCTCGCCACCTAC